TATATATATATATTCACTTAAAAAGAAATTACTGTTATCGAGATTCAATCTCTAATCGTGCGATAATAGGATACAAGCAGCTGTGAATTGCATCCGATGCAATCTCTCAATCTTTACTTTCTCTTTATTTCATCGAAGAAGCGATTATTCGGTATAACGATCCTATCAATAATTCCGTTAATGATACGCACAAACTATAATGTCTAATGATGCTTAATAAGCTCTAAGAAACAACATTAAATTAATCAAACCTTTAGTGAAACCTATTAAACATAGTCAACGACTAGGCGATATCCTTCAGCAGCCGCACTAAAGGATTTAATTTACCTTCATCCGAATTTCTGTACTGCTCCAGCAACTGTAAAGCAAATCAGCAAATTTATTCATTAAGCATTATTATACATAGTGTAATGTATTAATTAATAATACTGTTCAACAAAAAAAATGCATAAGAACAAAAATAATCGCTTCTCATAATTTTAAGCGTTTAATACAAATGTTCTATTATATCGTAATTTTGAGAAACTTGTGATTAAAGTTGCAAAAAAGATTCATTTTAGTACTTTTAAACATATTATAATTACATGTGATTGAGAAAGTTTTATTGTCGTTAAAATTATATTGTTAGAATTTTTAACTCTTAAGGAATTTGTTCTCTTATAGATAAACAAGTATTTATGATATATAAGATCTACTGCGTCAAAGTGTTGCGACTTATATAAATTGTTAAAAATCTTTATCAAAGATCTGGACAATTGTCCTCGTTTTTCAAATTGAAAATAGTTTTTTTATTAAATAGATTAGAAGAAAAACATTTATATATTTATTATATATATATTATATATAGAAAGAAAATAATTATTAATTCTATAATTATGAATAAAATGATGAAAAATAATTATAAATTAAATCAGACTGGAAGTGAATATTGAAATACATAAAATATATAAATTATTAATCAATGGCTAATTTAAAATAATGCACCTATCGAATAAAAAAAATTCTTAAAACGTCTAAAAGTTTATGCAAAGTAAGTATGTGAAAGATTGATCGAACACTCGAATCAACTTAGTTATTACACATTAAAATTATGAATATTTCTGCACGCATATTAACATTTATATTAACATGTTAAATGTGATTAACGGTAATTGACGCTATGATGCTGATCTCACCGATTCACGTACAAAATGCAATCGATTGCAGAGATTTGCGAGTACCATCAATAGAAAAAAATTTTTTCCCAACGGAACTCGTATCGTTGCGGATTTTTGTATTAACAGAGTTGTTTACTGAAATCTTGCAAAAATATCTCTGAGAATTTCCGGATTTCCAGATATTTGTATTCAAAATTCCAAGTAAGATTTAAAAAAATTTTAATGCAACTTTGAAATAAATTGGAACATGAACAATGTAAGCAACTTTTATATTGAAAATAATAGAAGATATAATAGAAGATAGACTCCACGAGATTATATCTATTATTTTTTACAGTCGAATCTATAGGATAGTATAAGAAAGACAAACTACAATATACAATAACAATACTGTCTGTAAGCTCTCTTCTGCTAAATATTGTCTTTTTGTCACTGAGTTTTTTAATAAAAACTCGCAAGAATGCATGTACGTGAATATACATTACAAGCTATATTTATTATACTAACATTTTGCATTATCAAGAAAAAATGATCAAAAAACAATGTTTTCAGGAAGAAACAGAATTTAAATTTAAACGTAAAATCTCCAAAATTTTCTTGAGTAAATCCCTCCGATAAATTCCATAAAAGTTATTTTCAAAAATAAAAAGGAAATTTCAAATTTTTCCAGGCAGTAAATATCCTGATTAATGATAATGATTCGTTCAATGTTCATGAGATTTACATCAATATGAAAATTAGATGTGTGTGATAGCGAGTTTTGTTAATAATCACCTACCTCGTACGACATTTCGCAAGACAATATCGCCATTGCTTCCGAATTGTGATGGGTAGCAGCGAGAAGTGCCGGTAACGTGTACGGTATCAATCTGGGATCTCCGTAAAACGGGAATGGCAGAGTACACAGCTGCTGAAGGACGCTGGGACCCGCGCCAGCCGACTGGAGAATCAGCTGAAACAGATTTCCCAATGGCAGACGTTATTCTTCGGCATAATTTTATTTTCTCTAGCTTTTCCAGCAATTCCGCGATGTCCGTAAAGAAAGAGAGAAGTCAGCGCGGACAACGGCTGGGAATTATTGAAAAGAAAATTGCCTCCACGTAACCAACAAAAGCTATTCTTTCCGTATCATGATCTTTTTCTCATCCGTTCCATAGATATTGTCTTCGAATTTTCGCTGTTATATGTAAACTGTATCGATTTGAATATAAATTCTTAATTCTTCGCCGACAGGGATATGTCGATACTTTTGTCAATAGTGGATAAATCCAGTCACGCGCACAAATAAAAATGCTTTTAAAAACCATTGTAATTTTAAAACATGTATTCATAAACTTTTGAAAAGCGTATTATAAGGGAGTTGCGTAATAAAGATATAAATAGTAACCTATATTGTATGGCCATATGAAATGTCAAACATTATTTTTCAGAGGAATATTTTTCTCTTTATAAGGAATCAGTCTTCGCGGACGGAATCTCTCAGTCAAGTAGATCGATATACCGGACGAAGATTCCCTTCTTGCAATTGCAAATTACCCGCATGGTTCGACCGGAGTTGTTTAATTGCGAACGGTTAATTAAAGCAACAGAGTAATTTTCTTAAAGAGCGTGAGAACTTGAATGACCCAGGTGTCACGGAAACGAGTCTTTACTGCAAGAAGATCGAATTGGACATCTGCTTCTCGTGACAAGTGCTTCTATGAACAGGACGTCGTATTCCTGTGCACCTGCATAAAACTCTTACAGGAAATGCCCACATTTTACGCATCTTTGTCTTCTTCGACGTCAAGGTAGCCCGTATCGCGCTTCGTCTGGGTTAAATATCAGTCCGTTACGATTGCCATAACTTCATGTCTGACATAACGTAACTCGATAATGATTGATTCGTGATAAAATCATTCATTTCGAGAGAAATATGAGTTCTTATCATAAAAATAGATTTCATCCTATGTGAAATGCCTCCATAAAAGTAACCTCATCAATCCTGAAGGTTCAACGCACTTTGAATTATGGCTAAAGCAAGATTCTCGTACAGAGAGTTTCTAAGTTCCTTATATAATGAGACAAACATATCGCGATTAACAGCGTGTAGTGGCACGCGCGTGATCCCGAGATGACTAGTTAACGCCAGGTCCGAGTTTAAAATAAATAAACGGAAAGCGGTAACGCGCCCACCATGGCGCCACCGCAAAAAAATCCATTTCTCGAATTCGGTTACGACCGTCGACAAAAAATGGAGACGGACGTGTTTATGATCGCGAACGGAGAAGGTGATACCGTCGTACCGGGTAGGCGATAACCCTGGCTGCTGCAGATGCTCGTAGAAACTTAAAAGCGTCTCGTTTCTCCCTTTCTCTCCTTTCCTCTCTTTCTGTTTTATACACGACGCAGACACGTACACACACTCTCTCTCTCTCTCTCTCTCTCTCTCTCTCTCTCTCTCTCTCTCGTTTTCTTTCTTCCTCTCATCTTGCGGAAAACGATTTTTCCAAGGCAACTACTCTTGGAGAGTCGACTCTCACTCTTGAGAGCGGCGACCTTAAAAAAGCGCTGAAAGACGAATGCGCGACATCGGCGGTGCACTCAGCGTTTACATTCCGATTCACGTGTCCACGAGATCAACGCGGACGCAGTCTCACACAACGTGTAAATGATGTTAAACTGTAGTTACTTCGCGAGAAATATTCTTAGATTAGGAAATCTCGTTAATTAAGCACTAAATTCGTTCATAAAAGGTGCTCACCAGTTGCTCTGAACAATTTTCGTATTAATAATACTCTGGAAATTAATATTTCAGCATTATAATTAAATCTTGATAATTAATAATAGTCTATATCAAATGTTTTCTATTCTGGAATATATAACCACACATGATATCACAATTCTATTTGAGAATAGTACTTGATTGAGATATATTAATTATTTCGTTATAAATAATCATTTTATATTATAATAATCTCTAATAGAGGGAAAAGAGAGAGTTGTAGTAGAGATATGTATATAGATATGAACCCATTTAAACAGATGTTTAAAAGTACACATAGAAAAATATCATTCCATTGCTAAGAAAAGTGACTCAATTAATTATCTTTCTTCCATTGCTAAGAAAAGTATTCAATTTATTTTCTTCTTTTTAAGTAACAGTTTATCTTTAACAAAAAATATTTTTATAATAATCTTAAAATATGCTTATTATAAATTTTAGAAAAACTCATTATTATTTATTCAAAACAAAAATTGATTTTCTGTTAAAGAATATTATAAAATTTATCAAAGAAATAACTTCATATAATAAGTCTTAGCAAATCTTACTTTAAAATATATTTTGAATAAATTTGATGCTTGTAATGGACTTATAATAGATTTGGGGATAGATGAACTATTGAAATACTTGAAACAATTTTATTGATTACTTACGTATAGTATGTTTTTTTTCTGTATATATTCTATCATATAGATACTAAAATTTATTAATTTATTAATAAATATTTACAGAGAGGGATTCTAAAATATATTGTTAAATATTTAAAAATATTTAGTATATATGATAAATATATTTTTAAGTTATTTTTATTACTCTATACTAGCCATACCACTACTTTTAAATATATGCTTTATTTATTATTTCTTAATTAAATTATTTTTTAAGAAATACTTTCTGTATTATTTTGCAACGTTTATATTTCAATTGACACAAATATTCGTATTTTATCCCTTTAGTTAATTTCACGCTCGGACTTCTTTCATTTTCCGCGTCGCAATTATAAATGTTATGAATTTTCGCGTCGTTTTACGAGCTGATGGACCAGTATTGTGCACGTACACACGCCCTGGAGCGCATAGAATGGTACGTCGTAAATATATCTTAACGGCGTTCGGCCGTATATTGATGGGAGGTCTGCTGAGTGTGTTGTGTCTAACAGCCTCTTCCTTCTTCTCGCCAGTAACGCACTGTGCACGCCATCCAGCGCGTACGTTTCTCATAGTAAAGTAACGGGTGACTCGAAACATCGTAGTCAACAGTCTTAACGCCGATTCGAGGAATTTAAAGCTATGTACTATATATGCACTATATGTAAACAGTAAAGTACCAAAACTAAACGAATATGCTCAATAAAAGTATATTACTCTTAATAATATTCGTGGATAAAATCTTGAAACACAGCTAATATTTTCAAAGTAGATAAAACTATAGCTTTGTCGTGCAAGAAAGAATAATAAAAATTAATAATGTCAGAATTAATCTTTAACTCTATTTTTATTTTTTGTGAGAAAAAGAGAAAAAGAGAGAGAAATAAAGACTTTTCAAGCTCAAGAAGAGGAGTTTTAAAACTATAAATGGAAAACTTAATAAAAAAAAAAGATTTGACAGCAAATTCTACGTAAATGAACGTATGGATATACTTAACTTGTTTCGTTAGAAAGACCCCTTCGAATTCTAAGGTATTCGATCGCATAAACTACCATATGGGAACAGGACGTACCTGATTGTCTGGATTGTTAAGAGAGAAGTACCCGAGCACCACAAACAATTCCGAGAGGATGTGAATACTGCTCGTATTCGGCATAGAGCCCATCTCCGACTTGTCCGACAAAGAGTCGCGGGACAGTCGAGTTATTAGATGACTCGCTATCAGCCGCCATTGCAGGCTCGTGCCCTCGGCGCCCAAGAAGCTCTGTAACAGAACATTTTCGTTTGTAAAAAGAAGTTATGTACTTCAATTAATATTTTTATAAACTCCTTTCGATCGGACAAAACTCTTGTAAGCTCTATGTACAAATTTGATATAGAGCAATGTTCTTAATCCTACAAGAAAGAAATGTATGTACACATACTGTTAGATACAAACGAAGCAATCCCTTAAGTTATATAACATTTTATTTTCGACTTCCATGACATTCAAAATATAAATTAATCCATTTCCATGATTATAATTCCAAAATACACATCATCCATATTAATGTATACACTTAGTAGATAATCAACTAAATTCGAATCAAATTTAATACATTTTCTTAAGTTAAATTGATTAACTCCATTATTCTAATCAAATTAACGACACACTGGATAGGAGCAGTGGTAAAATAGAAATGATTAAAAATATCTTCAAATATAATTTGACATTATGAATTTAACAGTGCATAATTTCTCCCTGTGTATATTACGTCACTCTAACTTACTGTAGTCTCATTCTATAATCTTAATTAAAATTATAAATTAAACATAAGTATAAGTTAAAGTGAGATAGTATATATATGTGTGTGTGCGCGCGTGTGTGTGTGTGTGCGTGCGTGCGTGCGTGCGTGCGTGCGTGCGTGCGTGCTTGCGTGCGTGCGTGCGTGCGTGCGTGCGTGCGTGCGTGCTTGCGTGCGTGCGTGCGTGCGTGTGTGTATGTGTGTGTGTGTGTGTGTGTGTGTAAAGAGAGAGAAAGAGAGAAATTACACATATATATTTTCTTTCGTAAGATTTTGACATCGCTCGTGGCTAGACTCCGTAATAGGGTCTCTAGTTAAAATCTAAGATAAACATTATCGAACTGGCGATCAGAACATCAGCTTAACTTGTCACGAAAAAACTGAGTGCAAAGAGAATAGATAATAACAGTCGGTTTTTCGGCAAATGCACGCGGGGCTCATCTGGTAATCGACGGGCGATCCCGCGGGACGGGGCACAGCCCTCCCGCGGGGCACACGATAGCCCTTATGGTTTTTGCGGGGCGAAGGGCGCGAGGTATGGCCGCTTCAATTCAATTCGCGGTCGGCTCGCTGCGAGAGAACTTCACGGGAGGCCTTTACGTCTTGACAGGCCGAACCCCCGCGATACATGATATCTCCATCACGCCCGGCGCCCTATGACGATAAGCTGCATTGTTGGCGACAACAAGCGGCATCGTTGTCATTTGGAGAGACGACGCCGGGGGTGGCTTGCGATAATGCCGCATTGCGAAACTGTCGTGAATTAAAAAGTAATGAAACTTATGGCGATTTAATGGGCAGCGTCCTAGCTATTGCTTAAATAGATTGAAATCAAGTATCAATGATCGAGATTCCAAAGATAGCCTGAAATAGAATAAACTATCGCTGTGCGTATCTATCGCTAATATTTTTATCGCGTAATTAATATCAGAATGTAATTATCCGACGTCAACTCTATATTTGATGAATATGATCACATTGGATATGACGAGTAAACTTAAATAGCCGTATTTAGCGAATTGTCTAGCACGAGTACCAAAATTGGAAAGGAATAAATACTATGGACGAGCCGAGCAACGTCATGTTCGATGATGAAACTTGGAGAAATGATAATTCAAGAGAGTTGAATACTATAATAGCATACACAGTTCAGAAATGTAACAGTCTATTTAAGAACACTAAATCCCGCATCCAGCCGTTTATAACTTAATTAACTTTGCTTGCAGTGCACGCTTTTATCTTTCAATTTACATTCAGACATATTTTCTCCAAAACAATTTCTTTTTATACTGAAAAAAATTAATAATATTTCTTTGAATAGTATTAAGTAAATATTTACTTAAAACTATTCAAACAAATATTTATTAAAATTTAGTATTATTTCAGTGTACTTGCGTTTTTACTGATTCAATAATTATTTTAAGTCTCGTTTCATAAGATTACAATAACACAGAGATTTACATAGAAATATATAAATGCAGTGAGACAAAAAGTAATGAAATTAATACGTTCAGATCAAAGAGTAATTAATAAATATATAAATGTGCGTGTTAATAACAAAAAATAGAAGAATAAAGAATCATTTATTACAAATTTTGTCGAACAAACTAAAGTTGCAAAAAGGAATTATGTATATATATACCTGCAGCGTCCGAAGATCGAGTTCTGCGATCGATTTAAGGAGCTTGAGACCGTAGCTGGCCAGAGTCCGCACAGCGGTCGTGAATGTCTGGCTAGGGGTGGGCGAAGCACCTTTCTGATTCTGCGGTATGTACGCGACCGCAGCATAAAGAGCGCCGATCACACTCGATGCCTCAGTCATCGACAAAGTCGACAACAAGTGCGACTCGTTACTCGTTTGCTCTACACCGCTGCTGCTCTCGCCGTGCACGCTGACAGAATCTTGATCGACGGACCTCCTCAGATGACTGCAGATACGTGCGAGGAGATCGTAAGATGATACCAACAACGGCGATTCATGCTCCTGATCCAGAAAAAAATCCGTCTCGATCAGGGCCCGACTGTGGCGTGACACGCGATCCACTAAGCTGCCGGCTACCAGATATCTGAAGCACAAAAGAATTGAGACACGTATTATAAGTCTCGCGGATCATCGAAGTCGCATCTTTTTTTCTCGATGTTTTTGGTACCTTTTTGGAGTAGAGTCAAGGAGAATTCTCATAGTTGAGAGATTCTTGATTAAAATTTCTATGTTTTTACTTGTCATTAGAATCATCATCTTTAACTCTTTGGTATGGCGGAGTTATATGTACAGCTCAATGTGGAACGACTGAATGATATTAGTATTGTAAAAATGTAATTAATTCTTCAATGCTGTTCTGGATATAGCATGTCTGATATTCTTTTTCCCATGTTTTTTTCATTGCTTAATAACTTTTTTATAATATACATTTGTTTGTCTCGTTATTTAATGTCTGACATTTTGATTGAAAAAAAATTTTTTTACAGCATATTCATTTTTATGAAAGTTATAAGCAATCGAATTGGATTAAATATAACATATCGTATATTATAAGTATATGTCTAGTGAAGAATAACATTAACAATAACTGTAGAAAGAATAATATTTTTTAATTGTAGCTTATAAATAACAGTCGTGTGTAATAACGCTAATATTTCGTCACAATCAAATTTTGTCATAACTAATAAATGTCAAAGAAAGTTGTAAGAAATTTACTTCATAATACTTCAATATTTGTCTCTGTGTACATTATAGCATTTTCGACTACAATGTGTTTGAACTGACCTGGCTCGGATTAATGACGTTACATGCTCTACTATTGATTGACGTTACATGCTCTACCAATAATAAAGCATGCAACGTCATTAATCCAACTCAGGCCGACTCAAACCCACTGCAGTCGAGAATATTAGTGTTCACGAAGTGTTCTTCCTCTTTTTAATTTTCAGTACATGAAGGTCGGTCCTGATTGTTTCGATTCAGGAAGTACGTGTAAGGGTCGAAGAATTTTAAAGAGCATTCTCGTAGCGGCACAAAACAATACGAACTCATTTCGTGGATAAATGCGAAAGTGCAGGAACACCTGTTCTAAACGGAGAAACGAACAATCCAATATTCAAACGGGCCGTCGATCCCTGGACCGACGAAGAATCTCACTCCGATACTTTCAGCAATCGATGCTCGTCGATCACCGAGCGATCATACGGCAGCGAAATGTGCATATGGGCGCCAGGGGAGATGGAACCGGATAAAAAAAAACAATGTATTGCTTACAGGACAGCATGTGCGCCGGCGTAACACGAGAGGATTATAACATCAGTGCGTAATTCCGAGAGAAAGAGAGAAAGAAGGGGGATGAAGGAGCGGCCAGAACGGCGAGAAGAGTGTGTAGGGAACTGAGGGGGTTGCGACCGGCGGCGCACGCGATGCTCATTCTATCCGGTTGTTGTATGTATACGTTTTTCTTTCTCTCGTATAGACAGCATCCCCTTCCGCGGCCGCGCAAGCCCGAGAGGGTGCGTGTCTGTCAGCGTGTATTATCGCCACCCCCTTCGATTCTCTCCTCGACAGAAACGCACACAAACTCGGGGCGTCAATGAGTATTGGAATATATAATACACGGTGAAAGAGAGAGAAGGAGAGAGGGTGCGCCGCCCTTCGATCCTACATCCGTGGAAGGCCAACTGTCGCGTCTAATCATAACTAACTGCGAGCTAATCCCGCCGCACTAGCTTCGATTGTAGTGTAAAAATGATAGTTGACGATATCGCGTATTTTCCGAAACATTGTACTCGCGTCGACCGATATTTCTGTCCCGAGTGCGCAGATTGAAAGACACGAAATTCCAGATGATGAATTTTTAACATTCCGCTCGTCGACACAAGACGGAATATGGGATCCGGTTTGTCGAGTCGTGTCATCATCCATGGAGACGATTTTTTCTTTTCTTTTTTTTTTATTTTTTTTCTTGTGCTCGTTCCCCCAATAAGCGCGATGGACGGTCTTAAGCCTGTCGGAGTCAGAGATACGACAATGAACGAATGCGAGTCGCCACGATGACGCGTGATGCCAAACAATGCGACAGGTCTGAGTATAAATTCGCTAATAAAATGCAGCGAAATGATCGCGGATCAGAATTGCTCGACACGCTAATCGCCAGCTCGCGCGATTACACGCCGAGAACCCCTCCGCACTTAATCTGCAACCCTTAGTCTGCAACAACATAGGCGACAGTTGGGGATGAGGGGAACCGCCGTCTTCGAATGTAATAATTTTGCGACGAGCCGAGTGGCTACCCCGCCTTCCTTCCCGTTCACCATTCTGCTTCCGTTTCGCTACTCCACGGTAGCACGGATTACATCCGTGAAAGTCACTGCACGGAATCGCTTAATCCTTTAAATCCATAGTAGGGATAAATCTTTTCGATCCGGGTGATGCTATTCACTTACGACCTGAAATATTGAATCATACTTTCATAATTATGTAATCGCAATAGGATAAACGCTAGCCTGAGACGACGGTATTCCCGAAATCAGTTCTACAACCACAGATCGGTCAATTTGATGATGATTTTTCCTTGATTTAAGTATCGAGAGGAATTTTTTCAAATCTTAATTTAAACAAGATCAGAGTCGCAAACAGATGTATAAATTGTGCACAAAAGCACCATTAAATCAAGGGGCAAAATTAAGTTTCAAGAATTAATTCTCTTCCTGTAACACTAATTGTGTGCTCGCTTGTATAGAGATTTAATTTCTTCCGAAAAATATATATATTGTACATAAATTTGAAAAAAACCATATCACAAAATCTGAAATTATTAGTCGGATCGGATAGTTATTTTTCGACGCTATTAAAATCATTCAGTACAGAGTCCATACTATGCCATTAGCACCAGAATACTAATCATATAACAATTTCCATAGATCGAAAACATAAAAAGTAAACAACTGCTCTATTAACTTCAATGACAAAAATTTTCACTTTTCACATTTCTGCTTTAGGAAAAAAATTATTCCTTAAAATAAAAATAAAAAATTGCCTTTCTAAAGATATTTGAAAAATATTTTTAAAAATAACTTTTTTAAATAAATTACTAAAATATTAAAAGGTACGCAAAATTGTCTTTGTACAAAAGCAGTTCTGAATACTTATGTTATACTTTCGTAATTAAATTTCAAACTCAGACGTCTTGTTAAATACTTCTTGCTACACACACACTGTTTAAAATTAATTTAAAAAAAAGATTTCCTTATTCAGAGTTGCTACAGAAAATGAATTTTAAAATTCCCTGGCTTTTCCAGGTTTTCCAGCTAAAATAGAATTATTATATATTGTCCATGAGTAAAATATGTAAATTTTAACATTTAGACCCAGGATTGTAGGAAAGCTATATTATTAAAAACAAGTAAAAAAGTAGCATACAATTTTGAGTGCAAATTCAAGCCATAGCAAAAAATAAATTAGTTTTGGAAAAAAAGAATGCAGTTATGACGAAAAAGAGATCAAATAAAAATACTGAATAAAATATAAATTTTAATTATTTTAATAAAATCGTTTAAAGTGCACAAATATTGAATGTATCTGTTTATAAACATCAAATATAATATTTAAAAAATTATAATAATTATTTAAAATAGGAGCAGTTTCAAGAAATTGTGAATAGAGTAAATTTCTAAATTCCAAATTTGTTTATATTTCCCCTGATTTTTCCCAATTTCCATGACCAATTTCCCTGCCTTTTCCCGGTTTTCCACGGTTTTCCACGGTTTTCTGTGGCAACCTGTTATCAAATTCGCAAATTTCAAGATATTTCGAATCGACTCTCAATTTAGAAGTGAATTTTCCCGTTAATATTTCTGTCAATCTTTACGATAAGACAGAAGTGTCTTTCTAAGAACGGAGTGCGAGATTAAGTTTTGCTATTAGTTTTCAATTAGAAATTCAATCAGGCGAAAGGCAATTGAACATCTTTAGAATATATATTTCTCAATCTGTCATTCAGTTTACCGCACGTGTACTGGAGGTATCGAAGCGATTCGTACCAACCAGAAAGATCCCGTGTCCCGATCTTCACGCACGTCCGCGTCAGGGGGTGCGTCGCCCCGCCGGCCTGAGATTGCGATCTATCATTGAATGTTTGCGGGGGGAAAGTCTCGAGGCAAATATATCGAATTTATTTATTATCCCCTCGTCCCGCCCCTGCACGCATCCGCGGGAAGGGGAGAAAAAGGGGAAGAAAGAGGATGAGTGACGAGCGGCTGGCCATATATACTGCTATCCTGGAGAAGCCGCCATTAGCTAACCATATGATTATTTCATAGCGAGCTCGCGAGGGTGCATATCTTTGCTCTTTCAGCCCGCACCCCCAACGAATCGGTGGTTGCTTACGCGATTTGCGCGCTGCACCGCGCGAGTGCACTTACGGACAGGAAAAAGACTCTCCGAGGGTAGGCTTACCCCTGAGGAGGAGGATAATCGAACGGATGGTTCGTAATTTGTGTGCCTGGATTACCAGAGAGCGGGGAAAATACGTGTCTATCCGATTTACAGTGTCGCGTAATTCGATTTTTTGGAGAACAATCACAAGTATCTTTCATACGTAATAAGAATGTAAAACCGAGATAGCCTTTGGCCATAGCCACAATTTCGGAGATATAACGATACTACGTTTACAGATTCATCAAGAATATATATTTTCGGCAATATATATAGATGAATATTTGTTTCCCAAAGTGCTACACGTATTTAAAGTAATATACGCGTGATGCGTATGGGTGATAAAAATACGTGACTTTGACAAACGAGGCGGAATAAAAATAAGCGGAAACAATTTTTCTGTTAATCCGAACGAATAACGCAGTGGTATCTAGCTGAAAATCGCCGCAACAAATTTTTCGCGAACGCGCGTGAGTCAGCCGAATAACACTCCGGAATTAATGCTGTAAATCAATCAAAAATGTAATTTCCGACGTATGTTCGGCTGGAAACGCAAATATTTTGTACCATGTACTAGGAGAAAGGATAAATCTCTAGTTGTACCATTGACTGTCTAATTGTGCTATAAAATTGAATGGATACAAA